TTTTAAAAAAAAAAAAAAAAAAAAAAAAAAAAACTTTTGAAGTACCATCCCACGTAGAAACACAGTTGGTTTTTGTATATTGATTTGTATCCTGCCTCCTTACTAAACACATTCATTAGTTCCAATATTTTTTTTTTTTTTTTTTTTTGTGACCGATAAGGGATTCGTAACCCTTGGCTTGGTGTTGCCCGCACCGCGCTCAGCCAGTGAGTGCACCAGCCATCCCTATATAGGAACCAAACCTGCGGCCTCAGCGCTCCCAGCGCTGCACTCTCCCAAGTGAGCCACAGGGTCGGCCCTTTTTTTTTTTTAAGATGACCAGTAAGGGATCTTAACCCTTGACTTGGTGTTGTCAGCACCACGCTCTCCCAACTGAGCCACAGGCCAGCCCTAGTTCCAATAATTTTTTAGCAGGTTCCTTGGAATTTTCTATATAGAAAAATGATCTAATCTGTGAATAGTTTTACTTCTTTCTTTCCAATCTGGATACCTTTTATTTCCTTCTGTTGCCTGATTGCCCTGGCCAGAACCTCCAGCATGATGTTGAGTAGAAGTGATGAGAGCGGGCACCCTTGCTTTGCTCCTGTTCTCGGAGGAAAAGCTTTCAGTCTTTCATCACTAGGTATGATGTTAACTGTGGGTTTCTCATAGGTGCCCTTTATCAGGTTGAGGAAGGTCCCTTCTGTTCCTGCTTTGCTGAGTGTTGTTCTTATCATGAAGGATTCTTGAATTTTGCCAAATGCTTTTTCTGCATCTATTTAGATGATCATATGATTTTTATCCTTTATTTTCTTGACACGGTGCATTGCATTCATTGAGTTCTGAATATTACACCCACTCTGTATTCCTGAGATAAATCCCACTAGGTCATGGAGTAGAGTGCTTTTTACATGTTGCTGGATTCAGTTTGCTAGTATTTCGTTGAGTGCGTGTTTATATCCATAAAAGATATTGGTCTGTAATTTTCTTTCTTGTAATGTCTTTGTCTGGTTTTGGTATCAGGGTAATGCTGGCCTTATAGCATGAGTTTCCTTCTCTTCTATTTTCTGGAAGAGTTTGTGAAGGATTGGTGTTCTTTTGAGCCAACTCTTGAGGGCTGGGTTAGCGCAGCTGCACCTGCAGGCAGTGGAAACAGCACGGACTGAGGCCTGGAGGTGGGTGCTTGGTGGATTTGGGCAGCTGAAGCCATGGGGTCTGGCTGGCGCAGGCACACAGAAGGTGGAGGTAAGGAAGAGAATCTGCAAGAAAGGTTCGCAGGGCCAAGGAAGGAAGGGCCGCGTGTTAGTCTGCTTCTGTTGCTTATAACAGAATACCTGAAACTGGGTAATTTATAAAGAAATGAAATTTATTTGGTATAGTTTTGGAGGCTGGGGAAGTCCAAGGTCCCGGAAACACATCTGGGCAGGGCCTTCTTCTGGGCAGGAACTCTGCACAGGGTCCTGGGGACCAGGGTGCCACACGGGGAGAATGGGCGGAGCAAGAGAGCTCACCTGCTCACTCGCTGTCCTTACAAAGCCATCAGAACCACGTCCGTGACCACCCATGAAACCATCCACCCATCACTCCACGGATGGATCGATCTATCCACAAGGGCGTGGCCCTCACGATCCCCCCTCTTAAAGGCCCCACCTCCCACCACCATGTTGGGGGTTAAGTTCCAACGTGAGCTTAGGGGGACATTCAAACCACAGCAGCCCAGGTAGGCACAAAGAGACCCAGAAATTTAGAACACAGCAGTAGTGGGAATGCTGCGTAGGTTGGAGGGTGTGCTGGAGAGAGGGCTGAGGAGAGGAAGTGGCGGGGGCTGCCCAGCGGTGGTGGTGAGGAGCACTGGCAGGTGGCTGGAAGAAGGAGGCAGGCTTGAGGGCTGGGTATGATGCCCGGACGCAGGGGGGGTGGCAAGTGCACTGGGAACAAAGGCACAGAAGTGCAATGGAGCGTCCATGTGGGAAGGCTGCACTGAGGGCTGGATGTAGCAGGAAGAGGCTCAGACAGCTGGCCTGTGGCAGAGGCATTGAAACCTGGGAGTGGTGGCCAGAATGGGCCACTGGGTGGAAGTAGGACCCGGGCTGTTGCATCTACCACCAAAGGGCCAGTGCAGGGCCTCTTGCTGCCTTCTGCCACAGGTGGCCCATCTTGGTGGTGCCTGAGTGCAGGTGGGAGATGGAAGGGGCAGGCAGCCTGGGAGGCCAGCAACGGCCTTCACCAGCCTTTGACCAGCCTGGGGGACTCTTCTGGGAGAGGTGCCCACATAGGCCTAAGAAGGTGGGAGCTGCCGAGGACCAGGACTCTGACTCCTTGGAGAATCAGGGGATGGAGGCCCATGGGGTCACACAGGCAAAGTGGGTTGGAGGTGGGTGGGGAAGGTGAGGGTAGAGGCATTCGGCCAGCCAGACTGCTTTCCGCCCCACCACAGCCCCTGGAGGTGGGGTGCCATTTTACAGAGGTACATACTGAGGCTCAGGGAAGAAAAGCCACTTCCCCTAGGGCACTCGCCAGCAAGGGTCGAGGCGGGATTAGGACCTAGGCCGGGATTCCGGAGCCCGGGCTTTTGAATAAAACTGTCCTGCCTTCCAACTGCTCTGGGACTCGCGGGTGTTGGAGGTGTGAAGCCGGGCTGCGTCAGTTGCACGGGGGGCTTCTTGATTCCGGGCTGTACTTATAGTCCCCGCTGCAGCAGGGGAAACTGAGGCCCGGAGGGGGCGGTCCGCGCAGGGTGACGTAGCCGAGGGGCGGTGCCGGGGAGGGGCGGGTCCTGGGCCTCACCTGCCCGCTGGTCAGCCCTCGCGGGATACCAGGAGTCATACAGTCCTGGGAGACATCAGAGTTCTATTCTGCTAGAGTGGAGAGACCCATAGTAGCACCTTGGGCATTCAAATGAGACCCCCATAAGGTCACACCTTAGGAATAATGACTATACATTAGAGAAAGAGCCACACCATAGGAATAAGAAAAACACCAAAATAGTAATTTGTCCACCTACAACAACAAAATTCAAATATTTTCAAAGATAAAAATTATAATTTAAGCTTCTTACAAAGTATCATTCACAATGTTCAGCTAACAATCTAAAAATTTTAGACATGCAAAAAAGCAAGAAAACATGACCTATAATCAAGAGAAATGGTAGCCAATAGAAACAGATCCCAAGATTACCCAGTTGTTTAACTTTCAGATGAGTACTTTAAAACAACTTTTATAAATATGTTTAAGAATTAAATGAAGAGATATAGGTAGTGAGTAAACAGATGGGAATCTCAGAAGACAAATGAAACTACAAAAAAGAAAACAAATGGAAATTCTAGAACTTAAAAATAAAAGTTCTGAAATGAAAAAGGCGCGGCCCGCGCGCTTCCTGCGGGAACAAAGGCGGGCGTGGGCAGCCCGGGCGCGCAGGTCTGGGGCTCCGGGCCGGGGCCGTCCATCTGCCAGCATCGCCCCGGCGGCGGGCTGGGGCGCGGGGCACCCTGCTCCCTCCGCACGGGCCGGGGTCGGGCCACGCCTTTGTTCCAAACCCGCCCGACACCTCCCCTCCTGGAGGGTTGGCTTTGCGTGCGGATAACCCGCCGGGGACCCACGCAGTGGCGGGGCAGCAGGCAGCCTGGGCCCTTGGAGGCGGTGGCTTTTCCCTTGTTGTTTGGTGGACGGTGCTGGTTTGCTGAGAGCAGACAGTGGTTTTCTTTATGTGTGTGTTTTGGGTTGAAGCTGTAGTGGCAGGAGTCCCGGCCAGGCTGGGCCTCTGGGTCTGACCCTAGCTAACCCATTACCGGCCCAAAAGGACACTGGCCATATGTCTGCCCCCATCCAACTCCACCGGGAACCCCAGGAGGGACCTGGCCAAGGGTAGGGTGGGGACAGGTGCAGACGAAACAGAGCAGGATGAGGGGTACTGTTCAGGGCAATCGGGGTGGGGGAGACCCTGGATGTGACGAGGCACTTGGGGTGCCTTGCAGAAGAGGGGACTCTCAATCTAGGAGTTCTCCTTTTGGGAAGGCCTAAGGTCATTCCAGGCAGAGGCCAGAAGTGTGAAACATCCTGGTGGGGCATGAGTAAGGGGCTGGAGTAGGGGGCAAGGCCTAATGCCAGGGCCTGGAATGTTGGGTCCCATGTGTCAACCCTGAGGCAGTCATGTGTCCCCTCGTGACCGGGTGTTGTGTGGTCCCCACTGGGGCTTGAGCAGGGAAGATGAGTGATGCCCCAGGCTGATGGGGTGGATGCCAGCCAGCCCACCAGATGGTTGTCACGGCTGATGAGGGTGTGACGTGTGCCTAGCTGCATCCACTCTGGCTTCTGCTCTTATAGCTCCAGCAACCGAGGCCCAGGGATACCCCTGCAACTCAAGCCAGGACAGGAGCCCATGTCATTTGGTTGGGAACTGGGGGCTCTTGGCTACCTGCTTTCCTGCTTTCTAGTCTGAGGGACTTGAGAAAGTCATGGACATAAGCCGGCTGAGGGCTGGCATCTGGGGCCATGCCCCTCACTCCCTCCTGGCTGAAGGCCTAGAGCCTGCCCCAGCTCCTGTACTTCTTTCACTCCCTCTTTCAGGTTGTGACCCTAGTGCCCTCTCCAGGAAGCCCTCACCAACTTCCTGTCTAAGTCAGTCCCCATTATAGGCTCACCTGGCACTGGGACTTGGGGTAGTTATGGCCTAACGCCTGACTTACCTGGGCTGGAGTTTTCCGAGTTCATTTATCACTGGACCCCAGTGCCCATGGGTCCTTGTGCGCAGAAGGTGTGTGTTGAATGAATCAGTGCCAGTAACGGGGCACAGTTAGTTCTCGGGATCCTTGGGGGTAGGTGTGTGGCTGAGTGGACCAAGTGGCCCCGTCTCTCCCCAGGGGCCCACCTAGAAGCCTGGGGCCTGCAGAGTATGGGTTTCCTCACCCATCACTGCCTTACCCTCCATGCTGTCTCCTGGCTCTTGGAAGTGTCTCCTTTGAGCTCCCCCAGCTGAGCCATGTCCTGTCCCCTTCCTCTGGCTGAATTGTGTCACTTCCTCTTTTATTACAGCTTCATGGAGGCTGAGGAGATGTACTGGCCTGTCCCCATGAAGGCCATTGGTGCCCAAAACCTGCTAACCATGCCAGGGGGTGTCACCAAGGCTGGCTACCTGCACAAGAAGGGTGGTACCCAGCTGCAGCTGCTCAAATGTGAGTCCCCTGTGTGGTGGGACGCACATGGGAAGACATGGGGACAGAGCTGACCCCTAGTCCCACTTCCCCACTGCCCCGCTGTGCTCTCCTTGAGGAGGCAAGTGCCCTCTCTCAGCCTCTGCTTCCTTACATGGTGGGCCTTCTAGAGCATCCCTTCCTTTTCTGGTGGCCAGCACCCCTGGGAGACCTGAAGTTAGCCTCCCCAGCCCCCGAGGACTATGGCAGGGTCCAGGGTGGTGCAGCTAGACAAAGAGATAGGACGGGAATTTGGTGCCCAGTGTTGACCAGCTGGCCAAGGGGGCTTCAGCCTGCAGCCAGGACTGGGAGACCTCCAGGTGGCCTGGTAGGTCTGGCCTCTGGGTGCCACCCTCCCCATATCCATGAGCGTTCAGGGAGTTGGTTGGTCATTTGGCCTGAAATGAATCCACATGCCAAGTTGAAACCTTGCTGGGTGCTGGACCTCCAGAGATGGGCAAGATCTGGGCTCTGACCTCAGGACATCAGGCTGGGAGAGGGACAGAGCCCCCAGGCCTGGAGATGCCCAAATGTTGAGACACTGAAGGCCAGAGAGCATTGGGGCCTGAACAGTGGGCGCTCCATGCCTTCGCCCTAGCGGTGCTCTCTGCCAGGGACTCCCTGGCCCTGTGCTGCCTGGTTGCGATGCCCCAGGCTGTTTGATTTCTGTGTGGGCGTGACCGGGCTAGTCTCCTCTTTGCATAGGGAGCCTCCATGGAGGGGCTGTAACTGACCTGCAACAGGCCTGGGAGGGGCTGGGGCAGTGGAGCTTGGGGTGTTCTCAGTGTGATTGTCACTCTGGGGACCGGCTCCACACCAGAGGCTCTCATGGGCAAGCTCTCTGGGTGCCCTAGCCCTGCACGTGTAGCTCTGCCAGCTTGGGGTGGAGAGAGCCTCCCAGCAGCCATGGGCTCCCTGGCTTCTGGCCCTAGCCTGCCCTGGGGGGGGTGCTCTCGGGCTGGCCAGCACGCCTGTAAATTTGTCCCTATTTGGCCCCATGGTGGACTCCTGGGGAGGGGAGAGCTTGCCAGCCCAGCAACCTGCTCTTCCATTCAGCAGGGCTCAGAGGTAGGCCTGCCCTCGAGTTGTCCAGGGCCTCCGGGGAGGGTCCCCAGAGTGAGGTCTGCCCGGCAGCCCCTCGGGACTCACCCTGCCCTTGCCTCACTGCCGCAGGGCCCCTGCGCTTTGTCATCATCCACAAGCGATGCATCTACTATTTCAAGAGCAGCACGTCCGCCTCCCCGCAGGGCGCCTTCTCGCTGAGCGGCTATAACCGGTGAGTGCCCGTCCTGCCTGCTGACCCCGGCCCATGGCCGGCTGCCTCCCCTCCCAGCCCACCCCTGTTCCCACCTCAGGAAGGGCCAGGCTTTCCCGAGAGGCCCCCGTCCCCACCCCCCTGAGCTGCTCTAGCCTCTGCCACTCAAGTGAGGCCTCAGTCTCTCCTCATATTTTGCCCTCAGGCCTTTGGGGAGGACCTGGGGGTGAGGCTGGGGGCTTCCTGGGGCTGTACAGACAGGTCCCAGGGGCCTGGACAGCCCACTCTCCAGAGTCCCCATTCAGCTGCCGCCTTGTGACCTCTGTGTCTCTCCTGCCTCCCCATCCGGCCCCTTCACCCACCATAGCCTCTTTCCAGTAAGCTAAGAGCCCAGCCAGCCCAGGCCCTGTCCTAAGCTTGGGCCCTGCCCCAGGCCTCCCAGGCTCCAGGGTCTTCCCAGGCTGGGGGCCAGTTTTTTGCTTCACACGTGCCATGGGCTGGGCTCGAGGCTAATGGACTAATGGACAGGTGGGCCAGAGTCCTCCGAGTGGGATGGGGTATGCTGGTGCATGTGGGCCTGTTAGCCCCACTGGGGTCCACCCCATGGCCTCAGAGCTGTGCAGAGCAGGGTTTAGGAGGTGGCTCCTGGGCTCTGGTTCTGGGCGTTGTACCACCTGGGCCCTGCACCCTGCAGCATTAATCTAACCCTTACCACCCCATAAGGGCCCAGCCCCTCCTGCCCATGAGGGACCAAGGGTCACATGGTATTAGTAGTGGCACTGGGACCCTCAGGGAGTTACTCCAGGCCCCAGCTTGCATTGTGGCCACCACGTAGATTGACCAAGAAGATCAACCAAGATCTTCTGTCTTGGGAAGATCGACCCCCAGCCCAGTGCCAGGCCCCCAGGCTGGTCCAGGGCACTGGCTGAGGCAAGAGGACTCTTGGGGGGTCTGTGGGCAGTGGGCAGGCACTGGTTGATTTTGGGTCGTGTGCCAGCCACACCATGAACACAGCCCAGTGGCAGATGCAGCTGTGCCCAGGGAACAGTCCAGCCCATCAGAGCCAGCTGGGCCTGAGGGGCTCTGGATGGATCTGCTGATGGGCCAGATGGGCACACCTGCCCAGGTGCCCTGCCAGTAGGGTTGCCCCCATGGTGGACTTTTTGATCTCCATGCAAACCCCACAACCTGGCTAGGGGAGCAGGCCTCAGAGCAAACATGAGTCACTCCCTGAAATGTGCTCAGAGCTGCCACTGGGCAGTAGGGACAGGGTGGGGCTGACCCAGAGGCGTGTGAGAGCCCCCACTGGCATACCAGGGGCCTATCAGGGCCAGAGGTGGCAGGCTGGCATCCAAGTGAAGTGGCATGGGCGGTGTTGAGAATGATGCGTCCTTTTCTCTGAGCCATGTGCACCACTGCTCCCAGGAAGCCCTTTCAGACCCCGGTAGCCCCGCTGTCTGTGCCCTACTCTTGCGCACACTCTTCCTGCCTGAAGCATCTGGCCCTTCGCCTGGCATATCGGTGGGCAGGGACCATCCAGATCTTCCACGTCCCTTGAGGAATGGTGTCCAGGGATGGGGGTGTGTGAGGCTGTCCCTACGGGTGTGGACTAGGTAGTGACTGCTGGCGCTGTGCCCTCAGGGTGATGCGGGCAGCTGAGGAAACGACATCCAACAATGTCTTCCCCTTCAAGATCGTCCACATCAGCAAGAAGCATCGCACGTGGCTCTTCTCAGCCTCCTCTGAGGATGAGCGCAAGGTGACTGGGCATCACAGGGCCTGCAGGAACCAAGCTGACCTGACCTGGGGGCCTTGCTTGTCCCAGGGCTTTGACCTCCCATCAGCCCCAGGCAGGGCTGATGTGGCCCTGTCCAGGTCTAAGGAGACGTGTCTGGGGCATGGGCAGCTGGGCCCCACGCCTAGAGCCTGGTGCCAGTGTTCACGTACTCAGAATGTGCTAACCCGGGAGGAGCCCCGAGTGGGCTGACGGGGGCCGCAGCCCCACAGCCCCACAGCCTGTGCTGGGGCCAGCAGGGGTCATCCCCCACCGACCTTGGTGGTCACTGCAGAGCAGTGGGGCAGTGAGGGGAGGAGGGGTGAGGAGGGGTGAGGGTGGGTCCCACTTGGGTTCCACCCCGCCCTTGGCAGCACCTTGCCCACTGTGGCCCTGGCTGACCCACAGAGCTGGATGGCCTTGCTGCGCAGGGAGATTGGCCACTTCCAGGAGAAGAAGGAGCTGCCCCTGGATGCCAGGTGGGCCTAGGGTTGTGACAGGCGGGTGGGGTCCCTAGGGCCCCTGGGCTTGACATGTGTCACTGCCTCCCCGCTGTGGGGGCTTGGCCCAGAATCCCTTAAAGGTTTTTCTGGGGTGCCGGCCAGGCCGCACGTGTGTGGGCGTGTGCACATGTGTAAGCATGCGAGTGTGTGCGTCCGTCTTTCTCTGTTCCTGTGTGTCATCTCTAGCTCCGTCTCGCGTGTCCCTGTTTCTGTTTTGCAGTTGTTGGTAGTTCCTGTTTGGGGGTCACATGTGCTATTTACCTCTCCCACCTGGGAGGCCCAGCATTTGCAGCAGGTCAGAACTTTGGGTTCCCAGCACCCTGATGCCCACCCTGGCTTGCTCTGGGTGAGACCAGAATGACGTCCCAGGGAGCCAGTTCAGATGATCTGGGTCTCAGCAACCTGACCCATGAGATGGCCCAGCAAGCAGCAAGGCCTCTCTGGTCTGGAACGACAAACTGCCCCGTCCTCTCATAGATAAGGAAACTGAGGCCCAGAGAGGGCTGACACACCCAGTGCTGCCCTGCAGGTCCCTGCATGACCCCCAGAGCTCCTGGCCCTCAGTCCAGGCTAGGGTCCTGCAGCAGGCTCAGCCCAGAGTTGACTGAGTCCCCTCCAGGCAAGAGTGGGTGGAGACTCAGGCCCAGCCCTGAGGCCTCTTACCAGTCAGGGTGGCCACACTTGTGTCAAGAACCACATAGGGGCAGGGAGAGAGGAACCCAGGGGAGGCACCACAGCCTGCAGTCCCCGTGTCTGTCCTGTAACTGCGTGTGTGCACGTCTGTGTGTCATTCTGTGTGTCAGTGTGTGTCCATCCGTGTTTGTGCATGTATCTCTGTTTATCTCTGTATCTGTATGTCTGTGTGTGTTTATGACTGCGTGTCCTTGTGTCTGTACATGTGTCTGTGTGTGCATGTGCTTGTCCTTGTGTCTCTGTTTATCTGTGTGTTTGTCTGTGTGTATCCTTGTGCGTCTGTGTATATGTCCATGTCTGTGTGTCTGTGTCTCTGTGTGTGACAGCCAAGGGAAGTCCCAGGCCCGGCGCCCACTGACCGCCAGCAGCCTGCCTTCCCTGCATTTCAGCGACTCCGGCTCTGACACAGACAGCTTCTACGGTGCCGTCGAGCGGCCTGTGGACATCAGCCTCTCTCCATATCCCATGGACAACGAAGGTGAGACCTGTCTCCGCATCCACCATCCCCTCTGCCTCTGCACACCTGGTCTTCCTCCTGGCTGCTGCGGAGGAGAGGAAGGCACATTACCTGTGCTCCCTGCTCTGTCCCTTCGGCCGAATTATGGTGGCTTTTCTGTGCTCCAGCCTCTGGCAGCCTGGGTTCTGGGTTTATATCCTGAGTCCCTGGTCCTCACTCTCATGCCTACTTGACACTCATTTCCCATGATCGGAGCATTATTCTGAGGCCAGGCCAGGCCTGCCACCCTGTGCCACGTGCAGCTGGGCCTGGGCCACCTTGGTCTCACCCCCCCTGCTTCCGTGCAGACTACGAGCATGACGATGAGGACGACTCATACATGGAGCCCGACTCTCCTGAGCCTGTGAAGCCTGAGGGTAGGTGGGGTGGGTGTGCCTGGGAAGCCCTTGGTGGGCAAGGAGCAGAGGCTGGGACCGGGAGCAGCTGCTGGGGTTGCAGGCCCAGGTACTTCTCTGTGTGGCCTCAGTTTCCCTGCTGAGGCCTAAGTATTATGAGGGTCAGAGCAGAAGAGGTGTATACACCAGCTGCTCTGCTCACCTGCTCCTCCCACCGCCCGGGTTAGCCCTGTTTGCATGGAGGGGGAGGGGACGTGAAGCTGAGCTCCCTGGGGGCTGAGAGTGGGGAAGGATGGACCTTGAGGAGGGGCGGGTTCAGGGCAGGTCCACTTCCCCATTGCTGCTGGCTGCAGGCCCCTGTGCCCACCCACCTCCTGAAGCACACGGCCTAGCCAGAGAGACAGGCTGACCCAGGCAGTGTCATGTGGGGTGACAGAAGTGCAGGGCTGGGTGGGGAGGGTATGCCTCTGTCCTGCCCTCTGTCCGTCGGACCCTTCCTGGCTCCGCTTCCCCAGCTCCGCCATCTCTCCAGCCCTCTCATTCATCAATTTCATTGTGTCTTGGGAAGATCGACCCCTTCCCCTGTCTGCCTGGTCTCTGCCCCGCTCAGCCTCCTGCTCCCTTGTCCTCCTCTCCACCCCACCTCCCCTCTCAGTTGTTGTCCAGCTCCCTTCTCTCTTGCTGCTCCCTCCCTCTGGCGTTCCAGCTCCCATCAGGACCTGCAGGCCATTTGCCTCAGTTTCCCTTCCATGCAGAGCGTTTGTCTGGCCTGCGTCTGCCAAACCACGCCTCTCATTCACATCCCAGCTTGGCGCACTCAGCCCCGCTGAGCTCCGACCCTGAACACAGCCCAGCATGGCAGGGGAGGAGCACACAGGGGCGCCAGGGCTACCTTTAGACACGGACCAGACCGCGCTCCTAATCCACTGTCCCACCCACCCTCTGCAGTCAGGCTTCCTCCTCATCCTGTCCCCAGTGCACCTGGTCAAGGGCAAGGTGGCCTCCTAGTCCCAGAGCTGTGTTCATTCTGGCTCCTGCCCCTGCGCCTCAGCCCCTCTGCTGGCCCCTTGAGGGATGCCGGGGCTCAAGCCTCACTCCCTGGGTGACAGCCAGTGTCATCTGTAGCCTGCTCATTCTGACTCACGTTCAGCTGGCACCTCTGCACTTGTGCCCAACAGTCCACGCAGTGTCCCCCAGATGCCTCCCAGCATCTGAACCTCCTGCGAGTGAATGCAAGCCTTTGTCTCCCTGCCAGCGGTGCGGGCCCCGTCCTTCTGGCCTCTGTCGTGGGATTCCCTCCTTCCCCTTCCTCAGGCCAAACTCTGGGAATCCTCCTTGACTCTCCTTTCCCTTTTATCTCGGGAACCTGATGGCCCCTCCTGTGACATCTGAGCTTCAGGGAGCTTCTGTGGTTGCATCGAGGATGGATGGGGAGGGCCAAGTGGTGGTGGGTGGTCTGGGACCCAGGGGAAGGCTGGATTGGGAGTGCTGGGCATCAGGTTGCAGGGGCGCGCAGGCCATGGGGTGGGCTTTGAGGGGTTACACCAGGTGGGGCCTGGCCAACTTCTGCCAGCAGTGGGTGGTGTTGGTCCAGCCTCCAGCGGGTGATACCAGCCTGAGTCTTTCTGCTCTTGCAGATGCCCTGACCCACCCGCCGGCCTACCCGCCCCCCCCAGTGCCCACACCCAGGAAGCCAGCCTTCTCTGACATGCCCCGTGCCCACTCCTTCACATCCAAGGGCCCAGGCCCCCTGCTGCCACCTCCGCCCCCGAAGCGCGGCCTTCCTGATGCCGGTCCAGCCCCTGAGGACTCCAAGAAAGACCCACTGGGCCTGAGGCGGACAGAACCTACCCCCAGGGTGCCTGCTACCTCCCGAAGGATGAGCGATCCCCCAATGGGCAGCATGCCCACCACGCCCAACCTCCGGAAACCCCCATGTTTCCGGGAGAGCACCAGCCCCAGCCCGGAGCACTGGAGCCATGGCCACGGGGCCAGCCTTGCTTCCAGCTGTGCCACCATAGCCGCTGCCACCTCCAGGAACTGCGACAAGCTCAAGTCCATCCACCTGTCCCCCTGGGGGCCGCCCACATCTGAGACCCCGCTCAAGTCTATCCATCTGTCCCCCCGGGGGCCGCCCACATTTGAGCCCCCACCGGTGCCAGCCAACAAGCCCAAGTTCCTGAAGATAGCTGAAGAGGCACCCCCAAGGGAGACAGCCAGGCCTGGACTCTTTGTGCCCCCTGTGGCTCCCAGGCCCCCTGCACTGAAGCTGCCCCTGCCTGAGGCCACAGCTCGGCCTGCAGTACTACCCAGGCCGGAGAAGCCGCCGCTCCCCCACCTCCAGTGAGTCTGTGCTGCGGCCAGTGCCCCTGCCTCCTGGCCACTGGGACCCCCCCTGACCTGGCCTGTCCCCGGCTGGCACCCTCAGCCCCCTGCCCTGGCACTCTGAATCCAGGACAGGGTAACAGTTACCAGGGCAGGAGTCTGCAAGTGCAGGGGCAAGGGTAGGAAGGTTCTTGATTGCGCCAGCCTGCCTAGGTGGCGGCGTCCAACCTTGCCCTAGAGGAACGTCTGGCCTAGTGGGCAGTGGGCCTAGAGCCGGCAGCTGCCTGGGGGCAGTAGTGAGTGGCCTCAGGGACACAGGCCTGCAGCCGCTGCTGTGCAGTCTGAGACCCTCTGGGGTGAGGACATGGGGAAAGCAGCTTGGGCTGTGAGCCACCTGGTGCCAGCGTGCCTGTGCAGGCCCTTCTGACCTGGACCCAGGACTTGGCACCCAGTGCTTGTCCTTCCCACCCCTGCCTGGGGCTCTGGGTGTGTCTCTGGCTCTGGAGCTCAAGTCTGCCTTTGTGTCCTTCCCTTTGGGAAATCACTGGAATGTGGAGCATGTCCGTGACTCAGCTCTGAGGCCTGCTTGAAACTCTGCTTTATTGCTGGGAAGTGTCAGGAGACCAGTGTGTCCCCCACTCCCACAGGGTCACACATATCAACGGCCTGTGGTCAAAGGCATTTGGGACCCAAAGTGGGCTTCATGCCTTGCTTAGCTGGTGAAGGCCCAGGGAGCCACAGGGGTGCTCCCCAAATGCCCTTGATCACAGCACCCTTCTCCCCAGGGCTCTGTTCGCATCTCTGAGCCCCCTGCCGCCTGTGAGGAAGCACCGGGGAGAACCCCTTGGCACACCTGTGGTCTATTTCATGAGGGCCACAAAAGATACTGCACAAAGGTGCAGCAAAAGGTCGGCCATTTTGGGCCGGCCCGGTGGCGCACTGCTTAAGTGCGCCGCTTGGGAAGCGCGGCGGCGCTCCCGCCAAGGGTTCGGATCCCACATACAGACCGGTTCCCGCTCACTGGCTGAGCGAGGCACGGGAGCAACACCGAGGGCTGCGATCCCGTTGCCGGTCCCGGTCCGGTACGGGGGTGACACTGAGGGTTGCGATCCGTTGCCGGACACGGAAAAAGACAAAAAAAAAAAATGGTCGGGCATTTTGCTGTGGCCTTGGTCTGGATCCTCGTGCCACTGGGCCGTGTGTGCCAGGGCGATTGTCCAGGGCTCTGCCTCACCCACAGCCCTGCAGCCCATCCTGGCGTGGCCTCGCCGTCCTTGTGTTACGTGTGGCTTCCTTTAGTCCTCCCTGAAGCCCTGGAGGTTTGGCCGAGGAGGACCTGGCCCTGTGTGGCTCGTGCAAGGCTCTCTCCGTGGGTGACCCCTGGAGTCAGATCGCATTGTTCATCCCTCTCACATCTGTCCAGAGAAGAAGTGCCCTCAAGGGAGACAGCCAGGCTCTGAGAGGGGTGTTACTCTGAGAGTGGTGTGACTTGGCCAAGGTCACAAAGCCCGTCAGAAGCAGAACTTGGGCCAAGACCCCACTTCCTTAGCAGCATCTAGAGCACTTGTCCACAGTGTGGTGGCGCCCCCAGGACCCCCATTGCCAGCATCAGTGGCAGCCCTGACCCCCAACTCAGGCCTCAGGCGATCCCTGCTACTCCAGGCTGTCAGCCCGGGCCTCTCACAGCTCTGCTGTCCTGGGCCGTAGCAGGCAGACCCTGGGTTCTGAGGTTGGGCTTGGTGCAGCCACGTGGAGGGCGGTGTGTGGAGAGGGTCAGAGTGTGGCCCACCCTGTGTCTGACAGCGAAGTAGCCTCTCCTCCCTTTCCTTTTCCCCCAGGCGATCACCCCCTGATGGGCAGAGTTTCAGAAGCTTCTCCTTTGAGAAACCTCGGCGACCCTCGCAGGCTGACACTGGCGGGGAGGACTCAGATGAGGACTATGAGAAGGCAAGGCTGAGCAGAGAGCCCCCCAGCTGGCCAGTAGGCGGGCAGGGGGCAGGAGAGCCACAGCCCAGGGTGGTCCCTCGCTGAGCAGGGAGCCCCCAGCACCCTGGAGCTGAGGGGGTTGGAACATGGAGCAAAGGCCTGGATCCTGGTGCAGGGTGGCAACCAGTCTGGGGGGGTGTCGCTCAGACGTTGACACTGACCGCTGTTGGCCTCTCCCAGGTGCCGCTGCCCAACTCAGTCTTTGTCAATACCACGGAGTCCTGCGAAGTGGAAAGGTCAGTGCAAAGCCCTTTTTGTGTCTGCGGAGATGAGCTGGGCCCCTGCCACACCCCATCTTCCTGCTTCTCTGCCCCTCACTTGCCGTGGTGGTGGACAGTTGCTGGCACGAATACATGGCCCTCAGTACAGTGGGGACTTGTCACCCTGGCCTGGCCAGAGCTCTGCCCAGCCGGCTCTCCTGGCCTCATGGCAGCTGGATGCTCTCAGAACCTGAGACCCAGAATGGCGAGAGGACAGAAAGTCGAGTTGGGAATTGGGGCTGGAGGGTCCTGTGAAAGCTGTCCAAGGAGGGTTCACCTGTCCACATGACTTATTTTAGGTTGTTCAGAGGCACGAGCCCCCAGGGAGAGCCCCAGGATGGGCTCTACTGCATCCGGAACTCCTCCACCAAGTCGGGGAAGGTAGGCAGCGAGGAAGATGCCCGGCGATCCCGCTCGTGACCGGTGTGCCATGGTGGCGTGTCCTGGTTCCCCGCACACCCAGGCCGATGGTGGCCCACGGCTTTACAGCTTGCAAATCACTTCCCCACGCGGCCTCTTACTTGGCATCTCAACCCAATTCTGACCTTGCAGTCTCTGCCCAGCACCAGCCTCTCATCCATTTTTGGGAACTAAACTGCATCTACAAGTTGGGGGTGGTGATGGCCACGCCCTGTTAGGGACAGGAGCAGGGAGGGGCTGAGGGCCCAGGACTCAGGGTGCGTGGGTTTGTGCATGTGCTGCAGAGGAATGGCAAGAGTGGCCCGTGTGGCTCCGGGCATGAAGTGCGTAACTTCACCGAGCTGCAGTGTCCCTGCGTGTGTCAGAGGTGGCTGTGGGTGGACGGGTGCCTGCTACTGCTGCTGCTCTCATCAGAAGCTGTCCGTGCAGGTGGATCCCCAGGGCTGAGGGGCTGCCTGTGTAGTCCCTGCTGTCCCTGCGTAGGTGGCCCCAGCTGTGCAGGGGGTCTCGAGCCCCTCCCACCTCACCCCCAAGGGCCACAAGCCCCAGTCTTGATGCTCCTGCCCGACCCCTCGGTTTCCTGACGTCGGTCCTGCTGCCTCTCAGCCAAGCCGTGTGCTTCCCACTTCCCGCCCTGCAGGTTCTGGTCGTGTGGGATGAAAGCTCCAACAAAGTGAGGAACTACCGCATCTTCGAGAAGGTGAGGGGGCTGGGCCCTGTCTGAGGGCCTGGGTGGGACGAGGACCCTGGCCCTGGGGCTTGGCAAGGGGTGGGGCGGCCTCCCTGACAGGGTGTAGGCAGGGGTGAACTGAGACTGGCACCCCCAGGACGCCACCCCTCCCCTCCGCTCCCCTCTCCTTCCCGTCCGCTCCCCTGTCACTCTCCTCCCGGGCCCCCACACCCTCCCCACTGCCTCAGCCTCCTTCCCCTCCTTGCCTAGCTTTGGCCTCACCTGACCTTAGAGGGATGGGTGGTCAGCCCTTGGCCCTGGGTTTATTCACAGACCTTGCCTGCAGTCCCCTGGGTGCGGGCTCTATGTTGGGCACTTGGGGATGGAGGGGGAGTGGGGCAGGAACTTGGGGAGCACAGGCCTGATGTGGAGGCAGCCAGGAGCAGGCCCAGCTGTGTCACTGTTAGTGCTGACCGCCCCCTCTTACAGTACGGTGGGGCTGAGGCTCGTGGCAGCCCCTGGCCTGGCTCCGCTCACCCCGCCACCCTCCCACCCCCACAGGACTCCAAGTTCTACCTGGAGGGCGAGGTCCTGTTCATGAGCGTGGGCAGCATGGTGGAACACTACCACACCCATGTGCTGCCCAGCCACCAGAGCCTGCTCCTGCGGCACCCCTACGGCTACGCTGGCCCCAGGTGACGCCTGCCACACACAGCTGCCGGGCAGAGGCGGTCACGGGGGCCACAGCCCCAGGCCACACACAGGGAGAGTGGCCTGCATGGGAGGATGAGCAGGAGCAAGGACCCTGCTTGACCTGGGGCCTCCCCAACAGATGCCCTGTAGGGTCTGGCCCGGCCCCACCCAGCAGGCTGGCTCCACGAGGCTGGACCGGGCCCTGGGCTCCAGAGGACTGGGGCATTCTCCTGCCCCATGTGGCCCTGCCCTGTCCCACCTCCCAGGAACCCCAGGACTGAGCCCTGCCTGGGCTTCAAGAACAGAAAGGCTGGTCCCCCCAGCACACCCATCCTGCAGTGGGCTGGGAGCTGGGCAGGGCTGGGGCAGTTGTGTGGGGGCCAGAGCTGACCCTAGGACCCCACAGGAACATAAGGCACAGGCTCCAGAAGGGACCGTTGCCTCCTAATAAAGCAGAGATGATCTTTGCCTTGGCGGTCTGGGCTTGATTAGGAAGGAAGGTAACCAGCTCTCCTGAGCACCTATACCAATGTCCAGGTGGTAGCTGTGGCAGTTCACAGGAACCCTACAAGGTGGTGTCCCTACCTCCCAGGGCACAAGTCGCAGGACAACTTGCACAGGGTGCACAGCTGGCAGCAGATCTGGAACCAAACTCAGGCAGTCTGGGCTCAGAGCCCACACTCCAAAGTGCCAGTTCTTCTGCTACGGGTCAGGCTCAGGGCACTGGGGCTGCAGACATCCACAGTTGGTGTATCCACTACATTAACAAGAGGTTATTGAGTGCCTCCTGCGTGCCTGGCCTGGTGCCAGAGCTGGGCTTGTGCCGTGAGCACGTCCCTGGCTTAGATGGGTTCACAGCCCAGTGTGGGGACAGCTGGGTGTGAGGTACTCACAGTGCAGTGACCAGGGCAGTTGGGGTGCAGGGGCCAGGAGCCTGAAACCCAGCTGGGAGCTTCAGGAAGACTTCTTGGAGGAAATGACAGCTACAAGGGGGCAGGAAGGGTGGGCCCCAAGTAAGCCAAGGATGGGTGGGGACAGTGGTACCCAGATGCCCAAGTCCTCCAGCAATACCCAGTCAGGCTGAGCCCTGATCAGTTCCCTCATTTCCTGCCATGGAACTCCAGCAAGCCATTCTTCCTGGCACTGCCACCCAGGCTGACTTCTCCTGAAAGCAGACTCACTTGGGGGTCAGGGCTGGTAGGGACCCCAGCATCATCTGATCTTCACTGTACTTTATGTTGGGGAAGAAGGTTGTTATGTAAACCCAAACCAAGGGTAACACTCGTACCCACCAGGAGAGGGCCCTTTATTCGGACCCCCCCAGCGTATTCTGTGGGCCTGTGGTTTACTTGGAGGAGAGAGCCATGAGGTGAGCAGCTGTGGCCACAGGGTGCCATGGGGTACAGCAGGACCGCAGGCCATCTGCTTCCAGGAATCATGCATCCAACACCATCTCTGCAGGTGTTTCCTCTCCAGCCTGCCCCGGGAGAGGCCTCAGTGCACCATGGTTGAGCCTGGGGCACAGGAGCTTCTGGTGTTATGAACCATCTCTGGAAAACCAGCCATTCGTCCTCCCTGTGGTTGGAATTCTTTGCCCTCTGCCCTGCGCTCGCTTAGGAACTCTAGGGGAGACATGCCACTCCCTACTGTGGCTGCAGTTTCTCTTCCTGTGAAATTTTAAAATGGGGGGTTGGATCAGAGAAGTGGTTTCCAGCTGATGCCCGGGGGTCTGCCGAGCTGGTGCTGTTTGCAGGATGCTATTGATAAAATCTAACTTTTGCAGCCACTGGAGCCAGCTCAGCTAAAATGTTTTTGTAGACTCCTGAGTGTGAAAGTTTGAGCGCTCTAGGGCCCAGAGCCAGGTGATACGTCCTTCTGGCAAACTGGACAGCTGAGGCCTGTGGCTGCCTAAGGTCCACCCCGGGGCCTGGCCCAGCCTCGCCTCGCCTCCCCTCCCAGACCCTGGGCCTGCTGGCATAGCTGCCCAGTTCAGTGAACTCCTGGGCCCAGGGCCTGCATCAATTGTAAGAGTGTGTGTGTTGGGGGTGGTGGCTGGGGTCCCAGGCCTTGGTACTTCAGCATGAAGGAGGGGACATAAGGGGTGCCCACGTACTCCTGAGACCTGCCATAAACATTCTATTCCACATAGAGGGTTGGGGGTGTGGTTTAACATTTACTGAGAGGGCTGGCTGGTCAGAGGGCTGTGCTGATAACAGCAAGGTCAAGTGTTTGGATCTCCATACCAGCCAGTCGCCAAAAACAAAACAAAAGACAGCATGTACTGAACACTTGCTGTGTTGGAGGTATGGAGCTGGGTGTTTGGCATCATGTGCTTGGAGAAGCAGCTGCTATTAGTCCCATTTTACTGGTGAGAGACTGAGGCTTAGAGAGACTTGGGTTCAAGTCCCAGCTCCCCACTCACTGTCATGTGACCGCATCTGTCCACTCCCCTGAGTCCAGCCCCAGGCCTCTGCCTGGCTCCCTGCCACCCCTTATAGCCTCTGGTAGTCATTGTGGGGGTGTCTAGTCAGCTCTGCCAGCCTCCCAGGGCTCTGGGAGTGACCTCACCCAGCCACAGCTCTGGGGGAACAGAATGGCCCTGCCTCACTGTGTTTTGTCCCCCGGGGTCCAGTCTGTGAAGATCAGTCAGCAGAAGGCCTGGAATTACCTAGGGGCAATCCTGCTTCCTCATTTTACAGGTAGGGAAGTTGAGGCTCAGAGAGGGTTCACTGACTTGTCTACCATCATGATGAGTTCAGAGACGGGTTCAGTTTTGGGGATTGGGAAAGGGCCCCAGACACTGAGAGGTTTCCGCATGCCAAGATGGAACAAGGTTTTATTTTTCCTGCAGTTGATCTGAGCATGGTGAGCCCCTATGCCTTCTGTTAATAGAGCATTTTATTGTAAAGAGATGTTTTTAGACCCAGAAGAGACCTTACACAAGTCTGGAATTGCTCTCAGTTCCCACCCCCCACCCCTAATTCCGGATCACATTGGGTGGAGCATGGAGCACTGCTCGCTGGTGAGGTTCAGGGTGCAGCTCCAAGGAGGTGTTTACTGCATCCCAGGCTGGGTGGGTGGCTCTGAGCTAGGGGTGAAGAAAGACAAGGCAGTGGGCCTGGGGCCTGAGGCTTATGCTCAGTGTCCACTGGGGCAGGCTGGGCCTCACAGGCTGGCCTCTGGCCATCCCCATTTTACAGGCAGGCAGACTGAGGCCCAGAAAGGGAGAGGCATTTGAGGGTAACCCAGGCCTTGGAGGGTGATGACCTGGAGGACATCAAGGTTGTACAGAGAATATGGGGCAGAGCTGGGACTTGAACCAAATCCACATGTCTCCAGAGCAGGAGGGAGGGGAAGGTCACAGCCTCTGTCTCTGATCCAGTAGCATCTAGCCCCTTGCCGGGCTCCTTGCACACACAGCTGGCCCTGTGTCTGCCTGAACATGCTATTCCTTCGACCTGGAAAAGACCATCCGATGGGGGGGCCTTGAGGAGGGCTCCTGTTCTTGGAGGAGAAAGGGCAACGACAGCCCGAAGGCACTTGATTGGCAACCCCCCACAACCACCACAAAAGTGTGTGCAAGCAGTGATCCCCTGTCACGCCACCTTCCAGCCACTCTTGCTAGAGGGAGATCCAAGGGGCACATGATGGCTACAAATCAGCTTGGGGGAAATTGACATATTTACAATATAGAGTCTTCTGGTTCATGAACACAGCCTACCTCTCTGTTCATTTGGGTCTTCTTTAAGGTTTGCCAATAGGATTTTATAATTTTGTCCATGTGTTAAGTTTGATTCATAGGTACTTCATATTTTTTTAATCTATTGTAAATTGCATATTTAAAAAATTTCCCTTTTCAATTTGTTAATAGCATATAAGACATACTTTGTCTTTTAAATAGAGCATTGTGTCCATTTGTATTTAATGTAATTAAATCAACCATCTTATTTTGTGCTTTGTATTGTTCTACCTGTGTCTGTTTCTTTTTCTCCCTTTTCTCTCCTTTCTTCCCTTCTTTTGGATTGAGCAATTAAAAAAAAAAAGTCATTCTATTTCCCCTGTCCCCTAGTTCAAAAGTTACACCCTCTACTTCTATTATTATCTAAGTCTCGAGTTAATAAATACTTTCACCCTCCTTTCGGATGACACAAAGACCTCAGGTAACTTTAACCCCATTGATTTCCCTCTTTATTCAATATTATTATTGTATACACGTGTATCTAATTCTATATTCTTTTCATTAACCCCACCCAAGACAGTATTTCTTTTTTATTTATTTTTCTTTTTGGTGGTGGCTGGCAGTACAGGGACCTGGACCCTGGACCCTGGAGTTATCAGCACCATGCATTACCCAGCAGAGCTACCCAGCCATTCCTTTCTTTTTTTGTAGTTGGAAAAGGAAGGTGTATTTTAATATTGTGAAAATCTTTTTTTATTATAATAAAGTGAATATAAAATTTACCATTTTTACTATTTTGAAATGTACAGTTCTGTGGCTTTTAAACACATTTACATTGTTCTGCAACTATCACCACCATCCATCTCCAGAACCTTTCTATCTTCCCAAACTGAAACTCTGTCCCCATTAAACATTAACTCCCTTGTCCCTGCCCCTCCCCTAGCAACCACCATTCTACCTTCTGTCTCTATGAATTTGACTACTCTAGGGACCACGTATGAGTGTGATAGAGTTTGGATGTATTGTCCTCCCAGAACTCATGGAAATCTGATCTCCAGTATGGCAGTTTGGGTCATGGGGCGGATCCCTCATGAATGGGTTAATGCTCTCCCTAGGTGGGAGAGAAATGAGTGAGTGCTCGCTCTATTAGTTCCCACGAGAGCTGGTTGTTTAAAAGACCCTGGCACCTTCTCTCTCTCTCTCTCTCTCTCTTCCCCTCCCCTTCCTTCCCCCTCCTCTTTCCCCTTCCCTCTCTCTCTTGCTTCCTTTCGCCATGTGATCTGCTTGTACCCACTGGCTGCCTGCCACTTTTCCGCCATGAATAGAAGCAGCCTGAGGCCCGTGCCAGATGCAGCTGTCCCAGAATCCTGAGCCAAATTAACCTCTGTTCTTTATAAATTACCCAGTCTCAGGTATTCTGTTATAGCAACATGAAACAAATATAATACAGAGTGGAATCATACTGTTACAGAATTAGGCTCTTGGCTCCCAAAGTCATGGAAATGAATGATGCACCCAGCAGTAAAGCAAGCAACACTTCATTAAAAAAAGGAGATGCACTTATGCATAAGGGAGGTAGCTACAGAGAAGCTAGCCCCCTGAGGTGAGCTGTTCAGTATCCTTTAAAGGTCAAAGGGGCAAAGGTGCAGGCCAGCCTCATCATTCTGTGCCTCTGAGGTGGTCCATTCTGTTCTTCCCGGTTGCGTCATGGGTGCATGCTCACTTAGGGCTTCGGTCCTTGCACCTGCTCAGTAGTTTCAAAATAGTGGTGATGTTCATCATTGCCACCC